AAAAAAAAAAAAAAAAAAAAAGAACATGCAACATCCACCACGATCACAGTATGTACAAGAATGACGACTTTTTCAGCTGTGACTGGACCTCTCTGCTCCAGATCCTTAAGGGATGCCTATCCAATGGGACGTATGCAATAGGTGTGCACGGGTATAATGGCAACGAAGGGGCCTTCACGGTCTCTATTTCTTGTTAAAGTTAAAGATTTGGGCAATACCAAAAACTGAACTGGAGGGATGATCTGCCCGAGCCTAGCTGTGTTGCTAAAGACTGCAGTTTTCTTCCAAAATGTTGTAAGTTTATTGACAAAGCCGAATGACAGAACAGAAAGTTGAAATGAAGATTATGCATGTATCTCTACATATACTGTGATAAACAATATATATTATCAAGTTGAATGAAATATCAACATGAAAAATAAATATTTCATTGTCCATAATTTATGCATTATTCGAAGAGAAAATAAGCGAGCAAGAATTCCCTAATACCTATAACTATTTCCAAACTGATTGATATTTGATATCTTTGTCAAAACTTACAGAGATAGTAATACAGGCCTTTAAAAAGCGTTTTTCGTTCATATTTTAAAAAATCATTTAAGTTGGGCATTTTTTTACCAATTACACCACAATGCATTTTGATAACATGAATGGCTTATGTTAGGAAACAAAATGAAATCAAAATCACAGTGGATTAAAGGTATGCCCACAGAGAAGAATAAGTTCCTTGTTAAATCGGATTATGAAAATAAAGTTGAGTAATATCAGGACTGAATACAACTAAAGATAGACTCTGACAATAATCAGTGAATCAAGTATGGAGAAATAAACGGCGAACTTGGATGTTGCTTCACTTAATACTTTTAAGAATTTATTTAAAAATATGCTTAATTGCTTATTACAGGAAAACGCGTCCTTCGGGAAGCCTCATAATGTAACTATTGATACGGTAGCACTTTGTTAAATTAATATGTAAGCACTTTCAGCCGTGCTGACTTGCTTAGATTATTCCTGAGTAATAATAAAAATAATTATTATTTCCGAACAACAGTTCAACACTCCTTTTTCGACACCGCCGCTCTTGCTACCGTCTCAAACAACTCTCGAATTCCTTCCCGCGTTTTTGCTGAACATTCCATATAAGAAAACGCATGTATCTTTTCCGCACTTTTTTGTCCCGCTTGCCAACCAATCGGTTGTTCGTGTAGAGTCCCTAGTTCACAAATAGTAAATTTGTCATTTCGTAAGTCCTTTTTATTTCCAACTAAAACAATGGGAACATCCGGGCATCGTTTGTTGATCTCTGGTGCCCATTTGTATGAGGCATTTTGAAAACTGCCGGGATCGTCAATTGAATAACACAGTAAAACAGCGTCCTTTTTGCTGCCTGAAAGGGAATGAAGCCTGGTGATGTCATCTAGCCCCGCTGGCTCTCGGAGGATAAGTTCAATCTGGAAGGAAGTTTTCAAAATCGGCATTTCTGATACAGAAGCAATAAGTTTTTAAAGTATTAAAAGTAAAACAAAAAGTTAAAAAAATATGATATAACAGTTAAAGATATAAATACCACACTCACAATTTACTTTCTCGATATTCACTCTTGAAAATGATAGGGTTTCGTGTGAGGGGGGGATTAACACAGAGATCATGTGGGTCCTGCATCAAATTTAAAACAGACGTTTTTCTTTATTATTCAAGTGTGGAACAAACAAAATAATGTAAGATTTTTGATATTGTTGATAATGAGAACGTGGGCTGAAATGATATGCAGCGCAACAAATAAAAAAATAATTACCATTTTGCCAACAATTTCTATGTATGAAATATAAAATGTAAAATTTTGAAATTTCTCGCTTTTATCAAGCGGATCCTGCATCAAGTTTAAAACAGACGTTTTTCTTTATTATTCAAGTGTGGAACAAACAAAATATATGTAAGATTTTTTGATATTGTTGATAATGAGAATGTGGGCTGAGACGATATGCAGCTCAACATTTAAACTGTCGTTTGTCCACATGAAAAAATAATAACCATTTTGCCATCAATTTCTATGTATGAAATATTACTCGTGGAAGGGACAGGAAGACGTTTTGTGGCGAAGTTGCCCTTTGTGAAAACGCTGACTAGACAAGACTTTCCACAACCCTCGTCTCCAAGAATGATTATTGTTTTGCGTGGCTGATGAGCTTTAGAAGACCTATCTGAAAATAAAAATGTATTCCACTTGCCGAATAATAGCATTTAACTCTCTCTCTCTCTCTCTCTCTCTGTCTGAGCAATATTATCGCAAATAATTTATAATTCCTCTCGTATCCTCGCTAAGTCATCATTTTCCCATCTTTTATACTGCCCTCAGATAACACAAGAACAGTATTACATCAATAAAAATAGTGTTCAACGCGGAAACAACGTTAAACTGATCTGTAATAATCATTTAAAAATGTTACTTTGTATTTAGATATTTATTTTTAAAGGTAATAGTAAAATAATATCAAAAAATGAAAACGAGAGTTACTCCTCACCATTGTATAGACACGACCACAATCCCATCGTCGTGGTTCAAAAAACATATGTACCTGTTATTTACAATATTTATCTGTGATCTTTGTTGTGATTCTCTCGCGCTAGAAAATGACTAGCCGGGCGAACCACGCTCTTTTATAATGGAGGTCCGTAATGCTAAAAATAGCCTCACTGTGTGGTTTATTTATAGGGTAATGACTGGGTTAAGATTTTTTGGAAGATTGCTGTGCAAAGCCTTTGCACTATCATTATTTGCATATTAACATGTCAAATCTCTCTCTCTTTCTCTCTCTCTCTCTCATCAAATTGTAGATTATAAAAATTTTTTGAACTAAATAATAAAAAACAATTTTCGGCGATAGAGGTCGGCTGATTGTTGACACTGTTGTTACATTTTATCTGTTTTAACTTAAAATTAGCTTTTTTTAAATTTAATATTACACACGTATTTGAAAGTGTGGTTGGTATTTTTTCCTGTCTTAATTGGCTGTTAGCATTTTGTTTTGTTATTGTAAATAATGAATATATTTTCTAGTGTCGAAGCCACTAGCAACATAACGCTTTTTATAAAATGTTTTAATATTAATTTATACATCGTTTTAAAATTAATTATTCATCGCGGTTAATTTTACGAAATGATGTCGATGTACTGTATTTTTTTGGTGTCGTATTGTTTCTTATTTTACACATTTTCAGTCATGTTGCAATAGAAAATAAATATAAAGACAACTTTTTGCATTGGTTTATTTACATGTTAATTCTTCCATTTATGTATATATTTATTATAACAATATAGTAATCGAAGTAATAATTATTATTTTTAAATCTTATCAATATTATTGGCATTTGTGAAAATGGGGCTTTTCATTTTCCTTCCTTTATTTTCACCAGGACAGGGAATATACACATTAGTTGTGTAACGAACCATGAAGAGTGAAGGACTATCATAAAAACCCACAGCTCACTGACTGACGACTTTTTATCTACTCTCTATTTTCTTTCAAGGGGAGTGTGTTTCCCAACTCCCAACAACTATTAAATATATCATTACATTACCATGGGCTATGACACATCAATTTTACTGAAAGGTAGCGATGAAAAAAGTTGCTTGATTTTATCTAGCTTTAATTTGGTATACTTAAGGTTAAATTGCTAGTTCAGATGACAATTACTCCCACGAGTGATAATTTAGGTGACTCTAAAAACTGACCTTTACTTTGGTCAAGCCATTTAGGCTACTCCCTGACCGATAAATCACTTATTACTTATCTCGTTTATACAGACTTGACATTTAATATGGAATATTTTTTTCCAAGTCATTTTTCATCAGTTTTTTGCTATTTTGCTGACTGATAAATGAAAATAAGGATTAAATTCGTGTTTTAATAACTTTAAATTATCTCTTTGATGTCATGCTGACACCAGCTCATTGGTTGAATTCGACAGTGAGGCAAACAGAAATACATTGCCTATTCTATGTCATACGACATCCATTAAAAGAGATATTTTGGATCTCTATATTTTCAAAATTATCGTCTGTAAAAGAGTTATACGCTACACAATGGACCCTCATGTCAGTGTGTAGTCATAGTAACGGTCGCTGTTACGCCTGGCCTCTTCTGTCTGTTACCAGCGCTCTCAAGCGGCAAGGCATTCCTTGGGAAAAGTTTTTAGAGTTCAATCTGGAATATTATTCCAGGCATCGGTCCAAAATTGTCCAATTTGGTCCAGTTTTGATGTAGGGCATGTAAGCAGTTGATTCGGCGAGTAATGGCTTACCCACATATTGTCTATGCGGTTCAAATGTGGCGATTTTGATGACCAGGGTAGCTGCTCATTCCCTTGGTTCTGTAAGTTATCTGCTATTAAAAGTGCTCTGTGTGAACCGGCAATCTGACCGTGCAACCTAAAATTGTTCCTAAGGTGCCCCTTATCAAATGATAGTCAAGTGGTTCCCAGATTATTCCTTTATTTGATCTGGTTCAGGTTTTCGTCAATGACTACCATTGGTGTTTTGGCACCAATGTGGTATCCACTCCAAATACTGACGCTGTCAATGACCCGTGTCACTTTACACGCGGTACATGCTTCGTCGTAGGCCTCTTCTGGATGTCTGTAAACTCTGTTTTGACTAGCTGGGAGGTACAGGTGAAATCTGACCTCAATAAAGAAAGCCACGCGGTTTCAGTGTTCTACCCAGAAACGGTCATGGCCCCCAATTCATTAGAGAAACAGACGACGATGTTTTGCTGTTTACAGTGGGTACCTCGCAGGTCATCTGGTATTCTAACCTGCTAAAACCAGTTTGGTGCTCGTTAAGGGCCTTGAAAAACGCATTGTGGTGGCAATTTACCCCTCGTTCTGAACAGACTGGGTGGCTTTTGTTTAGTTGCAGCTGCGTATCCCGAAAGACAGTGGGTCCTGAACCCTGGAGATAAGATTTCGATGCATTGGGTGTGACCTCTGTGTAGTTACATCAGTCTGGGTATTACTCTATAAAACTGTGCGGACCGTTCCGTTTGGCGCTGTAATCTGTCTGGTAGTGTCTGTCTTTTTCGCGCCATTCTGCCACAAATTTACAAATTTGTAAAGCACTCATTAGCTCATTTTACGCACTGCAAAACTGACCGCTTGCATGCAAAATTTCAAATTCTTCTATGGAATAGTTGCCGACATACGGATATTTTTTTGACAGAACCAAGATTTGCCTAAGCCAAGCATTGACCAGCCCAAAAGAACACTACCCAATTAAATCACCGCATTTTACATAATGTAGCAGCGCAACAGACATGGAAGTCAGTTAATTGGTAGCGACACACCTGACTACACACTTCTCCATTCACAAATCTTATATGAGATCGGTTTTTTTTTTAAAAAAGAACGAATTTTTACCTAGGCATACCTTCGAAACTGAAATATTCCATATTAAATGTCAAGTCTGTATTATAAAAAAAGTTGTAAAAAACATATAAGGCCCACGTCCGTAGACGGGGCGAGCTGGTGTGGGGTTAAAACCCGTCTTTTTGGCAAGAAAAGGTCCCCTCTGAATCAATACTTGATCTGAGTTCTACATGTATGTCATTTCTTATGCTGGGTCAACTGAGGGGAGGGAAAGGTCCAGTTTTCGGCAAAAAGAGACCCGGTTGCTGACAGCAGGCCTGTTGGTAGACATTATATTGTTATTCTTTGTTGCTGTCGTTTACTATGATGGAATGAAAGTGGGAGAGAGCGGTGGGAGAGAGGGTCGCCACTGGGCTATACTGTAAGGTTGTGATTATAGTAAAAAGAGAGATGCGCGCTTGCACATTTACTGACAAGACCTCGATAATAGTATCAATTTTATAGTTTAAGAGTCATATTCTTCACAGATGACGAGGGTCTGGAAACACCATTTATATGCCTTAAATATCGTTAAGAAAAATCGCGATTGTAATTCATCCAAAAAAAAACTGAAAGTTATCGAATGTCAAAACTTAACGGTTGGTTAACAACAAATATTTATTATGAAAGACACTTAATGTGTATAATTACAAAAAACAAAAAAAAAACAAAAAAAAAAAACTGATGCCACATATAGCCTAATTGTACATGTATAGCAGAAGGTATTGCAGCATTACTTGAAATATATTTATTTTTTAATACCATGATTGTCTTTACTTTGCTTCTCTTTGCCCAGCATCACTCATGACAAATTTCTTTAGAACAGAGTGAAAAAAAATTAACATCTGCGATGGATCTTACGGCGTTTCCTTTTCAATAACGTCGCTCTCGTGGCAGTCTCAAATACGTCCCTAACGCCCTCTCGCGTTTTCGCCGAACACTCAAGAAAAGAAAAAGCACCAATTTTTGCCGCAGTGTCTTCCCCAGCCATGTAATCCACCGGTTTTTCGTTCAGTTTTGCCAGTTCAGTAATGATCTCTTCATCTTTTTTCAAGTCCTTTTTATTTGCCACTAGAACTACAGGAACATTGGGACAAAAATGGTTGATCTCCGGGGCCCATTTTTCGGCGATGTTGGCCAGGCTGTCGGGACTGTCGATGGAGTAACACATCAGGATGACGTCAGTATCGGGATAAGATAAGGGCCGTAAGCGGTCGTAATCTTCCTGCCCGGCAGTATCCCAAAGTGCCAACTCGATCTAAAATAACAAAATTAATTCTGATTAAAAACAGTAGGGACATATGAGAGAGAGAGAGAGAGACTCAATCTTAAATAACAAAAATTAATGCAACTTAAAAATAGTAGAGATATATATGAGAGAGAGAGAGACCGACCGACCGACCTAAAATCAAATGAACGCTATATTTTACAAAAGACAATTTTAACTCTCAAGTTTTCAATTTAATTCTAAAAAAATACTACAAAAGAGACGCACCTGTTTTCCATCCACTTCTATGTCTGTTACGTAGTTCTCAAAGACGGTGGGAATATAGCTGAGGGTAAAGTCGTCCTGTGTAAACACGTTGAGCAGGCAGGATTTACCGCAGGCCCCATCCCCAACAATCACCAACTTCTTTCTCATAGGGTACGCCGTAGAATCTGCGTCTGAAAGGTCAGATTCTTTTTTCTTAAAACAAGTTATCGAACAAGTGTTTCGATTTAACAGTGTGTAAATCGAGTGTTTCAATTTAATAACCGGATAATTAGAGAGAACTGTGGCTTTAGAAAGTCACGGACGATTTATCGATTTATTTATCATTCAAGCAAATAAATAAACGACTGAAAAAGCATTACTGAATTATTTTTTCTGCAATGTATGACCACGTTTTATACTTTATTTACTGGTAAAGAGAAAAGGAATATACTCACCACATGAATTACCGCCTAGACATGCAAACAACCCCATTTGAATCTCCTGTCAAACAGTTTAATGAAAAAAATAATAAAAATATTGAACTAACAAACAACGTGTTTTCTGTTTCTAGATCCCTTCTTCACAGTTTGTGACGATAAAGTCTGACTTAATTGCCTATGTCCGGCAAAGACCCATGCTGCCAAGTTTTATAAGAGATTTCCTACTTACTAAAAATAGCCTCAAACAGCGAATGCTATTTTTAGAATTTTGAGTCACGTGTGTAGCCTATATCTTTCTTGGTATTGATTAGACCTCTATGGGGTTTTATAGCACAAGGCCTGATGACGTAAGCTCACCAGTTTAGACTTTGTTATTTAACGCCTGGATATGTATTTAATTAATACTGAATTTCATTTTTGTCACAAACTATGCACCCAGTACATTCTAATGTAACGAATATGCAGCATATACTAGTATTAGGCCCTATAGCTAGCATATACGGCTATACTGCGACCAGGTCAAGATTCAGGATGTAAGGTGCAGTTGACCCGGTTAACAGGAAAAAGTTAACGTACGAGGCCTTGTATTTGGTCATATTTTAAGGATTAATCATTCAAGGCCTTCTCTGATGTGGGGGAATACTACTACTTCTAAATTAAAAAGGGGCATGTCTGAAAAAGTTGAGAATATTAGAATGCTGTGCTGGGGGGTGGGGGGGGAGGGTCAGGAAGGTCTTGGTGTTTTCAACGTCTCCGGTATATATTTATCTCGTCATTGGTGAACATGAAGCACATTAAATAAAGTATTTTCATAAAATATTCTTTGTTTGCCACCCACCCTTCTCACCTCACCTGAGCAGAAAAAGTGAAACGGCGTTTCTCAGGATGTGACAACTTATAAGAACGTTTTTTCATATGTTACCACTGTATATCTGTTGATTTAATTATTGGCCGTTTTATATTTGAAAATGTAGTGTGGTGATTTCATAACAGTATACATGAAGCGAGTTGATTTATAGCAATACTGAGGCTTTTATTCTAAATACGTTATATTTGAAAGGGTGGGCGGGGTTGGTTTGACTGTAGGATAGTCTACTTAAGAGGTAAAAAGAGGTTAGGAGTTATATATCTAGCGGAAAAGTACCTTTAACATGATTCAACTGCGCTTTTTACTCTGAAGGGCAATTATAATTACAGAAAGATAATTCATAATTTGATGATTTTAATAAAATATTAAATTAAAATGTCTAAAATCCTCAACCCGCAGTGTGTATCAAGCGCTCTTGCTGTTGTAAAGTTCATTTCTACAACTATGCCAAAGTAGAAAATTAACCTAACATAAGTCGCTGTCGTAAAGCAGCCTTACAAGTGTATTATAAAGAAATATGATAATATCACACGTGTACTTACTACAATGCATTAAGTAAGTGGTTATAATATTTCATATTATATTATTCATTATTATCCTTATTGTATACATGTATATATATATATATACTACCCTTCGTAGAAGCGGTGGATTAAAGAGCCAGCAAATGTCAAACTATGTACACATTTATAGCTCAATAAACATTATTATTATTATTATTATTATCATAAATTGCCAACAAATTGTGACCAGTTCACTTGTAAACCCGCCCCTTTAATGCCCTCAATTTATATGCAAGTTTACCTCACTCCCCCTCTCCNGTTTAAAATACTTAACTCATCTAACACCTTTTTATACAACCATGGCCGGTAAGAGATCGTGAAAAACCATAAACGGTTATGCATACAGATATTAAAGGTAAAAATCGATCAATGGGAGGCTGATGTTGTCAAAAGAGATTGGCGGACGATTGGAGAAACTGCCCCCCCCCCTCTCTCTTACTGGGGTGTCTGGAGAGAGGGGAGGGGGCTTTCTTCCTTTCTCAAGTTCGTTTCTCCCTCTCAAAACTAGTTTAAAACGCAGATCCAGACAACCAAGAATTTTCCCGTATACCTGACCCCTACATATTATAATACAAGTGTCTTCGTCTATTATTTCGTATGCTATTTGAAGAGAAAAGCTACCCCCCCCCCCCCCCCCCACACACACACACACACCCAAACAAACACGAAATATCAACGAAAACGCCAATTCGGCACCGCTGAAGCTCTCGATCCTTTCCCTCACACCTGACGTTGTTTGTTATCAACGGCGACTGTCAGACGAGAAGCTGAAGGTGGCTAGCTACACCGTACACAGCGCGGATTTGAAAACGGTCTCTAAAGCACACGATTTCTCCAGGCTTTATTGATCTATGGACAAAGTATGCGCATGTTTATTTTGCAAGGTGGCGTCCTAGCCAACAGTAAACAACAGCATTGAATGTACTCCACTCCGCTTCTGTAATAACGGCAGTGAATGCAAGGGCAAATAGAGCTTCGGTTTGCCAGTGACTGAACTCGTTACCTTAGTACGATTGCAGTTGGATGGATTATAAATACGGCGTGGCAAGGTAGCTTGACTCCAAACGAAACATTGAACAGGTGCAATATCTGGGGTGCAATAGACTGTAGCAGGTTTTTTACGAGCGGCAAAGGTAAGTGTACGGCTGAGTGTAAGGCTGGAGTGAAGACCATACAGAGANCCTCAAAAAAAAATAAATAAATAAATAAATAAAGTAAAAGACCGAAATTTATCTGTCGGGCAGCAGATAAAGACCTTAAAACTGTTCAAACGACACCTTCTTTAAACTTCTCGTCGTACATTTGGCCTACACCCTCCCACCCCCACCTCCAATTTATAAGGCACAGATAGTAAGCCTAAAATATATGTGCAAATATTAATTTTCGGGAAATGCACCGAAACTTGTGCGTGACATTTCTTTTAGTTTTACCCTTTGGCACTATATACATACATATATACATGTATGCTGGCATTTGCTGGAGTTTAGTGACTTCTTTGACATAAGTACACACAAACACACACACACACACACACACACATTGGCTCAATATGCACCTTCTACTTTCTAGTAGCTTTATTTAGGCAATCTGAAAACATCCAGCTTATAAAATCCTTCTACCTGTCTATATTTGACAGTTGGCGATTCGGGGTTGTAAGAAAAAAGTATGGAGGGATAGCGACCTCCGCCAAGGAGGTTATTCTTTCCGTCCCGCTAGTTAGTTAGTTGGTTAGTTAGTAACTAACTATAGTTTTCTTCGTTATTCGTTGATTAGATAGTTTTGTTAGCAGCATTATGCCGAAAGTTGTGGACGGATTCTACTGAAATTTTCTGGATAGGTCGGAAATGGTCCAAGGAACGAATGATTACATTTTGGTGATGATCCATTTCGTAATTAATGGTTAATTATTAGTTAAATGTTCGTCTCGGCGGGAGTCTGCGTTCTCTGAGTGCTTTTCTAGTATTTTGTTGAATGTGTTGACATTAGTCATGTCATAATTAACAGTGTGGGACTTTATTGTATTACCTGAAATGATGCACACTTTGCTAATAGGAGCCCAATTTACTGAATCGCAATTTAATGCAATATGTTTCATAAACGTCTTTCAGGTCATCCCGGAGAAAACGACGCCTTGAATCAACAACACAACATCAAATGTCGCATCTGCCTCCGCAGGGCGGATTCCCGCCTCCCCAGGGGGGATTCCCGTCCTCACAGGGGGGTTACACGCCCGTCCAGGGGGGTTATGCGCCACAACCAGGCTACCCGCCCCAGCAAGATGTCATGCCAGTGCAATCCGGCGGATATTATCCGCCCAGCGTAGGAGGACTTCCTGTGCCCGCACAGCAGGGGTATCCGCCACAGGATTTACTCACAAGTCCACCTCAGGTTTATACCGGTGGGCAGCCGTATGGATATCCGCAAAACTCCCAGCCGTCTTTATATCCCCAGCAGCAGCATCCGCAACATGCTATGTACGCTACAGCTGAATCTCAACTCGGGGGGAGTCAGTATTCTTTAATGGGGGGATATCAACCCCCCTCTGGTAGCATGAATTTGGGCGTGACCCACCCTGGATTTACGACATCATTCCCCCCAACTTCTCAGGACGACGGCCTGTATGCGATGACGTCGTCTCCTCACGCGCCAGCTGGCGGAGGACCACCGTATCCAAGTTTGCCCCTCCCCGGGATGCCTGGTCCGGGGGAGATGGCGGGGATGCGGTACGTTGGCGGGGGACAGTACCCAGGACCTCCCCCGCACCAGTTCCAGCCTGGACTGTACGATACAACTTCGCCGCCGGGTTATTTGCCGCATCCAGGATTTTAGCTTTTATTTGAAGAGAGAGAGAGAGAGAGAGAGAGAGTGTGTGTGTGTGTGTGTGTGTGTGTGTGAGAGAGAGAGAGAGAGAGAGAGAGAGGGAGATTTACGGGCAGCGATCATCATAGAAGGATTCAGAGAACACTGATTACAAGTTTTAAAATATCAAGGTGATGATGTACCTTCAATTAAAGAATTGAACTGATTTAAGCCACTGCTACTCCGGACCTGCGCCCGTTTGAAAAACGAACTTTCTTGCTCACTTACACTCGCTTCAAAATTAGAGATTTGACGATATTTGGCCTCATTCAGAATAGGGGACTAACTAGTCCGAGGGTCAAATATGGCGACCCACAACAGAGCTTGCCATCAAATCCTAATCCACTAATAGACACAATAGATATTCCGTGGGGAGGTGGGTGGGCCATAGTTGACCCTCGGACTAGTTAGTCCCCTTTTCTGAATGGGGCCTTTGATAGTCAGCATCAATTCCACACGTCGGTGTTTATGAGCTTTAATTATTTCAGCTTTTCAAAATTTACATATTTGTGAAAGTGGAAAAAATATTCTTTGATTGGTTGCAAGCCCGACGTGACAGGAGTTGAACTCAGAAAAGATATAAGATTAACTGAGAGCACGCGGACAGAGCAAAACTATTTTATAATAATCACCCAGGATAATGAAAGCGGTGATTCATGATGCAAGGTAGCAAAATAGAAAGTAACATATTTCTACATATATAATAATATCAAACATTCAGACTTTGTTGTTATTTTTGTCAACAGTATAATGTATAGGTGGAAGGAAGAATAATTTGTGCCCCTGTCACCCAATATAAACCTACTTTCAGTGCATTTTATCTGAAATTGTTGAAAGTAAATCTGTGAAATATTTTTGAATTATATTTAAATATATTATAAATTTTAAAATACTGCGCCGGATAGTTTAGCCTAAGACTATACAAAACTGATAAAATTGTCAACGAGCTCGGTCGACTATACGTTTGAGAAAATTCGGATACACCCCCTTTCAATCGACAATTAAAAAAAATCTGGCCCCCAGGAAAAAATCTTTCCGCGCTCCTAAATCGCCCGCATAGTAGTGGATTTGACATTTCATATTCGTGTTCTTGATTACAATAATAATGATACAAATTAAATAAAAGGCAGATATTAAACTCGACAGAGAGCTACGTTACATATATGCCGTTGTTAGCCTTAGGAATTTACCTGTATCCAAAAACGCTAATCTTGTGCAAGATGAAAGGATATCATCTGCCCTGCAAACCATCCTTGATAATAAAGGGTTTGATGGAGGCAAGTGATCCACGTCAGTTATACAGATTGTTGATAGTTGAGGGCGCAATGAATTAAAGGGATAACAACTCTTCGTATGAGATCTAAATTTCACAATAAAACTATGAATGTAAACAATTCAAAGAAGTATACCATATTTTATTTTACCAGAAAATAGCAGTTAAAGCATCAGACTATGTAACCTCCACAGATGACTATACTCTGTAATAATATCTTAAGAGATTATTAAACAAACNACATCTGTGTCTGTACATAAAAATTGTTTACCCCAGGAAAAAAACTTTTTTTCCAAGATGAAGTTGTTATCCCTTTAATTGGAAAGGGGTAGAGAGCTCATTTTCTGATTTGGAATAAAATATGCATATGATACAAAAAATTAAAAAAAAAAAAAAAAACAACAACAACAGTGGACATTTTTTTTAAATCACAAGTCTTATTCAAACAACATTTGCAGGGGTCGAAATGTTGCTTTCCCGCTTTCCCGAGGGAAAGCTATTGCGGGCTCGGGAAATCTATGTGAAGTCTTACTTTCCCGTCCGGTAAATCGTTGAAAATGCCCGGTAAATGCAATAACTTCTCGGGAAACCGCTATTAAAGGTCGCTTTCCCGAAGAACTATTACCTATAATAAAATTCATTTCCTGGCACCTAGCACAAGCCGTCATTTATTTAACCATTTTCCACAACGCAAGTAAGCTAGACGTAAGTACTCACTCTGAAACTAAGGACGCACTCACGTGACTAGCTAGAATTTGTAACGGGGCCTCCTTTTGAATTTCAAGAAAGTTGTCAATCAAAATTGTCCCGGCGCATTTACAGTTGTATATCTGACTCGTTCCCTATCCCATTTACACAATGTTTGACATAGAAAGGGTCAATCCTGCGCAGTTAGCAGGTATAACGTAGACAGGTACAAACCTACGCAGCTTACGGAAACAAATTAATATGCGGGAACAAAGTTAACGCAACGTCCAAGCCTACACAAATAACGGGCACCAGACAGCTTAGTACGGGGAACGAATATCAGTCAGCCATTTATGCACGATCAGCTGACGCAAGATTCAGGTTGAGCGTGTTGGGACCAAGTCTGAGGGAGGTTGATGGCCAGAAAATGAATCGAGTTTCCCAAGTGGAAAATCAAAGACAAAAGCAAACTCGCTAAACAAAACATATGTAAACTTCAAGACACGACAAGAAATGAGGGTGAAGCAGGCGCACATGGCGACGATGTAGGTACGTCGTAAATAATAATAATAATAATACCAGACAAGTTTCATATCTAATGAATTGTAAATGATAAACAAGACGTATTTACTTTTCTGTTACTTAGTAAACATAAAAACTGCCCTACCTCATTCTCTTTGCTGATGACATGATGCATTGAAAAACAAATCGGCCATTTCACAGACTGAGTTTTTCTTACCCTCGAATTTTCTGCTCTTCTCAAGAGCGCCCTCTGGACTAAATTAGTTTGTGAAGTGATTGATTTGTTTTTCATTGAACTCCTACCAAACTGACGAACTTTTTAAAGATTCCATGGGTTATTCTAGCCTTTATAATTGAGGACCTAATATCTTTATTCCCTTCACTTCTGAAAATGGAGTGTTTTTAACATCAAAATTTCATTGCATTTCTTCAACTTCCCCTTTTCTAATTGGTATAAAATTGCTCACTAGTAAGAAAATGCCCCATGTTTCAAATGAAATTAATCATTGAACACACTAGAAATCAGTCCAATTGTTTATTGGCTTGACCATGATTACATGAAAAATAATAAATAAATAGTGTGCCTTGAATTCATTGTTTCGTAGTAAAGTATTTACATTACCATTCTAGTGAACAATTTCCAGTAATTTCTCTGTGACTGTATATAATTGCAATAAAATCTCAATCAATCAATCAATTACTATTAATACTTACTTTTTAGCTGCCAAAGATGGACCCATGTAGAATAAAGACAGTGACGAGTATGGAGATGAGACAATTGAAAGGCTTTTAGAACATTATAGAAGGACACTGGATAATGCTGGCTTTAAAACAAACGTGCCAGGTTGAATGGCCTCAGTTAAAAAAATCCATGCTGGAACTTAATGAAAAGGGCCAGGACATAGTTGCTTTTTTAAGTAGAATGCTGACTGTACATAAAGACTTGTACCCTAATATTTGTGCTCTCTTGGCCATTTTGATGGTCCTTACAGTCAGCACTGCAGATGCAGCATATGTATTTGGTACTAAGATTTCAGTCACATTAATGTTGGTAAATATACCCAGTTGTTATAACAAACACTACGGTATGTATGGATGCCATGTTTATTTCATAACAATAAACATTCATTTCTCAAAGATATGTTCTTTCCTTGATAATTCATCATCATATTAAAATAATCTAATTTAATATCAGGGAAATCTGTTTTCATGATTTTGTTGTCAGGGAAAGCTACTTTCTTGCAGGGAAAGTAATATATAAAATCACTTTCCCGGCAGGGAAAGTATGATTTTCTAAACATTTCGACCCCTGAATTTGAAAAAACTTGATAAAGAAGCAATTTGTAAAAATAACTATTGGTCACACTTTACACCCTGATCTGTTGGTAAATTTTTTGACTCTTTCTCCACTATATAAAATTAGTCTTTTAAATTTTCCAAGTAAACGACATAATCATGTATCACAGATAAAATGTAAGTTTTTTTTTGTATTTAAAGCTCCCCTACTGAACAGAGAAGTCTAAACTGAATGGACACATATAAAACCCGTCCTCTCTTCTCTCATCTCCCATAGCACACAAATGAATGGACTCAATGCACTGGTTGCCAAAAATCGTGTCCTTAAAGTGCTCCTGGATATAGGGATTAATGGTCTTCGTCCCCAGTTGTCGAGACACTGGGCGGGTGGTTTTCATTATAGTCACATGGGGGACAAATTCATGCGCATCTTTTATGGGGAGGCCTTCTGCACTGAGACAGACTTGGAGATGATGTAGTAATTCAGTGAAAACTGACTCGTGATGGACCTTGGCGTACAGCACTCTGCCGTAGAAAACGCCAGTCCCTTCAAGATGAAGCTTGATTCCCTTCGCAGCTATGGCCTTCAATTCGGACTGAATTGATTTTAAAGTTTCCACTGCATGAGCTATTGCTTCCTTTCCGTCCAATCGTAGGACACATAGTGTTAGGTGAAGAGCATTGGGGGGCACTATGCAACTCTCGTAGCGGGGTTCAACTTCCAAGATGGCGTCTTGGATATTTGCAACCGTTTCTACGATATGTGGGTTGGTTATTCGGACAGCTATGAAGTGATTGGGTCTCAACTTATCAGTCCAGTACTGGTTGTCACAGACTTCTTCACCTTCATCATCAAGGCAAAGATTGTTTTCCTCAGCATCAATTGTCACTTCTATGCCATCATCGCTGTCATCATCAGAGTCTAGACTAGAACCTTCGGCTTCCTCTTCCTCCTCTTCCTCTGCCCTGTTATTCTTCAAGTTCTCTTCATACTGGTCAATCACCTCCATGATTGTCTTACTGGGTTTTCCCGCAGACCCGAACACATGGTCAAATCTCCTGGTCTTATGCCACACTATCAGGTCCTTGTACTTGAAATATACAATCCTATGTTTTGGAATCGCTAATGTGTCGTAATCTACTGAGGCTATGTCCTCCCATGAAAATTCTGAGAAATCTTTCTCAATGACTCCACGGAAACGATCCAAGTAACCAATTACAAAGTCATCCGAGTCCAGGCTGCCATCCCATAATATCCTCTTGATGACGTCCATAGCCGTTTTCATTGATGGTTTCTTTTCATCTTTTTCCTCTTTCTCTTTTGGTTTCTTCTTTCTCTTTTCTTTGGATTTTTTACATGTCGGGTTCCCTTTTGATCCTTTACAAGTCGTACAGGCCACCTGTTCTTCAAGACCGTGGCTCTTTATCCACTCCTGCCCTGCTGTGAGAATCTCTTCAAAGAACTCTCCCTGGACACAACTGCCGGTCAGCTTTTCTTGCAGGTGCTTGGACAATTCAGATAACTGCTCCATGTCCAGGGCCTGTGATCTGGCAATAACTTCTGATATATTTGATCCTGTTTCTTCTGAAAACAGATATTTATATGGATAATGGCAAGTTTATACATCCGGAATTTACCAAGAATGATTTCTCCTGAGTTCTTAAATACTCATTAAATATAAAATGACACACTGAATTGTAAGCAATTTTGTTTTTTACACTATCTTTCATTGATTTAGAAATAAAAATATTTCATACATTTAAACATACAAGAAGTAAAAAATGTCCATACTTGGAATCTGAAACTTGAAGGTTAGATCCCATTCTGCATTTGGTTTGATGTCTATCACATATAGGAAATCTCCAACATCCTTGATAATCTTCACTCCTTTGCCAAACAGGGTTTTTAACTTTTCTATTTCCCCTGCTATATCCATATTCATGGTAGATTCTTCACTCTCACTCCCCGTCATTGACTGAAGACTGGAGAGAATTATGGAAAATAATACAGAAAGAGACTAGAATGGAGTTGATGTTAAAAAACACATAAGTTTCTGTTTGAAATATGATATAAATACCAGATACTATAATATAAAATACAATTCTAATGCCACTTATTTAGAATAATGATTAAATGAGTAATTTAATTATGATGTATCCAACCTGTACAGATTGACTAACAACAGAAAATTGGTATCTGTACACCAGGGCATGAGGCAAATCATGTCACTGCATTTATTTTAAAACGTTCATTACCTGCTAGTTTTTGTTTCATTTCCAATGTCAAAACTAGGAACAGAAAGTGTCAAAATTTTCCAAACAGCAAGGGGAGAAACGGTGAGGGTAAGATAACAGAATTTTCCTTAGTAACTTTGTGAGGAGTAACGATGATCTCGGAATGGAGGAGAAACACTAACAGTGCAAGGGGGTAAAACAAGGTAATAACATCATGATAAAGCTCAAATAACTACTGCATTCCTGTCTCAGCTACCTTGAAGCCAGGCTCTCCTCTTCTAATTACGCTCCTATTTTTTCTTCACTGCTTACAGCACTGTCTTCTGCTGTTGTCGTTTAATCCCTTTGGTCATTCAAAGACACCCGGCAACCGTTTTATATACAGCACTTGTTTTGTCATTGATCACCTGTGGTGCAATGTCACGCGTCACATGCGTTTGTTTTGATGTTGCACAACTTCCGCACAAAAATCAACGTCAGGTGTCGCCAATGTGTCGATGAGGAGGACACATTTTTTTTTTACTTGGATGCAAAAGTTGAGGTTTCTAAAAAAAGCTTTTAAAATCTATTTAAAACACAGAATCAAATATGCGTCTTTTATTCAATAAAGTGAGGTGTGTTTTTCAATGAAATTTTCACTCTTGCTCACACTAAGCTCCTCTTGAGTATAAGTAGGTCAACAGGTTCCAAAAAGAATGAGAATCTAGGTCACTCACAGAGTTCACGGTTCAGAGGTAGGTTATCCTTCTTGAGGAAGGTACTTCAGGGGCGTTCGACTGATACAATACTTATAAAAACAAATACTGCATTTGGTATGTCTTACTCGTCAAATATTTAAGCGCAAAACGTTCTTTTTTAAAGTTGAAGGTACACTGTACTCGTTTGAAATTGCCCCAAACTTGGCCCAAGTCATATTTTTTATGTCTACGTATATTTTGCAAAGATATTTATCTTCCCTTATTGAAAACTTTAATCTATAACCCTATATAAGGAAAAATCATTTTGGCAGGCAATTCACGTACAGAATACCTGCTTTGTTTTTGGCATCTCATGATATTGACAATATTCCTCTCTCTCTCTCTCAGTGTATTTATTTTATTAAAAAATTCATAAATGTTATTTTCTAGTTTCTTTTTGTTTTATTTCCTGCTAAAATTAATGGCATCTTCACTTGTCTATCCATGTTGTTAACGTATCTTCAGGGAAGGACCACAGTAATTCTAACTCAGGGCTATGTATGTAAACTGACCAACATGTCTTCCAATGCAACAGAACAGAGATCTGTCAGATTCTGTGAAGATGACGAGGATGGAGACGATGATGTGTTCATTGATGATGATGATGACGAGTTACCTGAAATTGTAACACCTGAAACACCGAGTGTTGCTGCTCCTGTTGTTGGCAGTGCTGATGTTGTTGATGCTGTTACTGCTGATGTTTCCACAAAGGATGTTATTGATGATGCAAATGGAATGGATATAGAAAAGGGTGGAGATAAGGAAAAAAGGTATGTTCACATGTTTCTTGAAGAATACTGAATGCCTGAATTACATTCTTAGAAATAAATTAAAATCACTTCTGACCTTTTATTTCTTCTCCCTCTCTCTCCTCTCCCCCTCCAATGGAAAAAAAAATAATACATTGAGATTTGATTTGGTCTTTAATTATAAATTGGAAAATTTTGATCTTGGAATTTTTAATCTCAATTAGGAAAATAACACAGAAGAAGTGGTTTAACTTGTCGACTCCCATTTAATCCTTCGAACCCTGTTATTTCTGTCTTAATTTTATGGTTTGGTTTCCTTTGGTGTGTAGTGTCAGCATTTAATTGTACTTCTATTAAGGTTGACATAAATGTGCATCGCCTTTTTATATACAGACATTGTTATTTTATGTTTTCTTATCTGTGACTGTTGTTGCACTGTTTTTGCTGTTTGGTGTTTGTATATTTGCAGGCTTTGCTGTGTAATTACAGTTAGTGCATATATCTTTTCCTTCACTTACAGATATAATAAAGTTGTTGCTGTGACTGCATTTATAAGTGGATGTATTTTTTTTGTACTGCATAAGTTGAACATTTCAGCCTACTTTTTGCACATTTAATTTGCTAAATGTTTAATTTTTCAGTTTATTATTATTTTTTCACACCTCTTTTTTGGTTTTTAGGGTAACTGTTTCACTAGTAGTTTTGTTGTGGCATGGATTTCAGATAAATTTTACCTGCTGCCAACTGTTTTGCCAATTTTTTTTTTTTTTTTGCATTGTTCTTTCACATCTCAGCAAATAATGATTTTTTAAAAAGGTTCATGTCCTTAATTTTACTTAAAATACAAAACTAAATTTGCTTGTTAAAAACCGCCTGCAGCAGATGTTTAGTTTAGTTTTCCTGGCAACAGAAAGGTGGCAGCAGCATCTTATTCTCAGGATGGGCCCCTATAGAGGCTCATTCACCAGTGGACTATAGGCATCAGTGCAGCAAACAGTAGCAGTGGTCCAGGGAAGAATGAAAGGTAAGGGGAACATGTGTTGAGTATTTTTGAAGTGTTTTGTCAACTCAGCTGACTGAAATATAAGTATATTATATGATCTATATAGTTAAGGGAGAAATTTAAACCTGAGGACTTTTTCGTGAAGTCATGCTCAGCTTATAACTTCATAATTGGTTTGCCACTTCTGCCTTCTTGGTAGAAATATGGAATAATACCACATTGGCAGCTAGTAGCTAAGAATAGTTTCATGAAACAAGGCCTGTGGTAAAGGTTTCTGGGCAAAGATGCCAATTGCAAGCTTATTATTCCTGACTGGCACACAAAACACAGAAATGGTAAAAGGTGCTTTGTGGTTGGGGAGTCATTTGTTCCCCAAGAATAGTTTAATGAAAACTGAGCTATAAATACTGTTGCTTAGTGGTGGTTGGTTCTTGCAAGTGGAAACGGGGGGAGAGAGAGAGAGAGAGAGAGAGAGAGAGAGAGAGAGAGTAACCTTAAAATAAATAAAAGTCATTCTAAATTCAGTTACACACTTTCAACTATAATAAGTGTTTAAGGAAATGTTATAATAGCAATAGAAAAAATATAACCCAGTCTGTTTACTGTCACTGTGACCTTTGCTTATGTGCATTAAGTTTATTGTATGCCTTGGTTTATATTTAGCTGCAAGGTCTTTGCTGATGCCAAACTGACCAATGCATGGACAGTTTTAAATTAAACTCTGTAGAATATAATATCAGGGCAAGTAGGCGTGGTTCATTACATCAGAAACCTATCATATATTTTGTAAATTCCGTTAACCAGACCATTTGAGTATTTTGTGTCCAGTTAAAGCTCGAAATTATGATACGTGACCCAAGTTTTACCTGACATTACTGTTCTTGTTAGCTTTTAATAATGTTTGTGTGCGTGCGTGTGTGTTTGTGTGTGCAAGCACCTGCGCTTTTGAACATGTGCATGGGAATTCACTATGTCCAAAATGGTACAAGTGTTATAAGGCATGACGATGCAGTCAGCTTTTGAATTTGGATTATTGAAAAAATTTTCTTCTTAATTTTGGTTTATCACATAGACTGAAGAGTAAGACTTTAGTGGAGCAGATTTCTAACCCTCATTGAGCATTTGGTTATGCGTGATAATCTTGTGAAAAATTGCAAATGTCATGCCTCCTTCCACAAATAACCAATTTACATGCGAAAAAGTACTTTTGATCTGCATCAATCTGTAGATTAGACCAACAATTCCAGTCCCTTATCGTAATCAATAATGTAATTAAGTTGTTTGTCAGCAACCGAAAGGTCTAACACATTTTTTTCTTTGAGTCTGATAAATTACTTGGTTTTCATCAAATCAATGATCAAATGACCTCGGATTGTCAAATATTTTACATCTTGTTTATGATGAAAATTTCATGCAAAATTGCCAGCCCTTGATAGATCCTGTATAGAATTAATAGATGGCAGGTTTTGAGATTATCATTTCATGTCATGAAAATTTAAAAAAAATTAAAAATTAACTTACAGAAGAAAAAATGAACACTGTATTTTCTTCCGTTTTAGTTTATCTTGAAGGATGTGTTTGGATTTGTCTGATAAGATTAGTTAAACATTTTATTGTACACCTGTGTCCATTTGATGATTTTACAACAACAAATTTTAAAAAAATTCACAGAAAGCATATTTGATGTGCTTGGATTAATGAAGTGGACAGATCCCCATAGCAGCCTTACTTTCATGGAGGAAGAAGATTGGGGCTAAACACCCCTCCCCCCTCTCTACCCAATGCCTACTCAGCATCTGTCACCCTATTTTTGTTTTGAAATAAAAATAAAATGCCAGATCAGTCAGGCAAAAAGGATACCTGAGAGATACCAAGCTTGCAGAGGGTTGGTTAAGTTTATTTTGCTTCAATTTTTTTCACTGATGACTTCCTGCTGCTATTAACCCATATATGATATTATTTATTTCTATTTGTGACTAAGCAGTCACATACAGACATTAGCTTCGACATTATATCAGCTTAGCATGTTTTGGGATCTGTTGATATGCATTCCAACACATTTTACAAAGAGATTTATTTTTTATACATCATTCTGTGTTTCAGGACATTAATGTCTCTCAGTGTTCCCTCGAGAGAGACCAACATTTACTGCCTAAGACTGCATTCCCATAGATTTAGAAATATCCATCTAGACCAACCTAACTCCCTGGGGGTTCACGCTAAATTTAGTAGAGGGGACAGACATTTAAGCTGGCTAAGCTGACAGTAATCTAGTGAGACTCCCCACAGGGATAGATCGATCTAAAATCTGTGGGAATAGGGTTTAAGTTTGATCATAATAGTGTAATAACAGATTATGAGGAGACCCATTATGTGTGGAACGTTACATGGGAAGTTGAAATGTTTCAGGAGTTTTTTCATATCAGTATATAAGCATACTCACATACAGAGCTTCTGAGAGAACGTTCAGTGGTAACACGCCTTCATATCAATTTGAAATAACAAAGCTTGGTAATTGAACAATCTTCTAACTATTTATAGGCTTGTCTGGTATTGAACTCTTATAGACCCTCTAATATGATCAGACTTAGATGTAATTGTGTTGGTGGGTGGTCCAGTTTAAGATAATTATCATTGTGTGGTTGATGGTAGAAGAGGCCATGTGAGGTTAATGACATATATGTGATTAGATATTTGATTGGTCTCTTAATTTACTCTCTCTCTCTCTCTCTCTCTCTCTCTCTCTCTCTCTCTCTCTCTCTCTCTCTGTGTTTGTATGTGTGTGTATGTGGTGCAAGAGCAAAACATGCACACGCATGGACACTCAATGTTATCCGATGCAGAGGATCAGTCTTATAAATTTAATGTTGCATGATGATGATGAGGAAATTCCTGTGATAATTACATATTTTTCGCATAAGTTAATCTCACTTATTAATCATGTATATATGTTGACCACATCATTTTGTTTTGTCTAGAAGGGAAACAAATGTGGAGCAATTAAAAAAAAAAACTTGTGTTCAGAGTTCAAAAGTTCTGCTGGTTCTAGTTTAAATTAGAAAAAAGGTAACAAATTGAGTTTATTACAGCAAATTTTCTGCCCTTTATTAAATTCCCTCCTGCTTCGTCTCCCCACCTGTGTTACCTTAAGGCTGGTGGAATGGAGGGTAGTTTTTTTGAAAAAAAAAGTTTTTTTCAAACTGAGAACATGGCATTTGTTTCCTTTTCCTCTTTGATCCTTTCCTTCCTCCAATATGTTCAGATTAGTGAAAGTAAATCTTGGGAATCTAATTGCAACAAATTATTGCATATTCTGAACAACTTCTGGATGGGACTTAGACTGGGTTCCTATAAATCTATCGTACTAGCAGGATCGATCTAACTCCGAGAGGATTCTCGCTAAATTGCATTCAGTTTAAGCAGCTTAAATGTCTGTCACGCCTACTGAAGATTCTAGGAGGGTAATTAACTTTCTTGCAATCTTAAGCTGGATGCAGTTCAGCGAGAGTCCCCTTTTAGATAACGGTAGATCGGTCTTGCTAGTGCGATAGTGTTATGGAAATGGTCCCTTAAACAGAATGCGAGTAACTGGGTATTCCACACTACTTTCATAGTTAAAACTATAAGGATTCCAGGAAGGCTGCTCACAGTGAGTGAATTATCAGTTTTATACCATCACCAGACATCCCACTTTGTATTTATCAGTGGGAGCTTATTCACACTTTGGTGTTGAGTAGTGCACATCTCTGTCTATATTACATAAGTTAAGTCAAGCATGGCCTCAGACTTAAGCCACATTCAGAACAGGGAACTAAGTAGTCCGAGGGTCAAATATGGCCGACCCACTTGAATACTTCCCCACAGGATATCTATTCAGTGTCTATTAGCAGATTAGACGGCAAGCTTTGTAGTGAGTTGCCATATTTGACCCTTGGACTAGTTAGTCCTCTGTTCTGAATAGGGCCTTGGTCCTAGCTGAAGGATGACATCCAATCCACAATTTTCCTCTGCAGTGGACCTGTAAGGTTGTGAATTGCTTTTTCAAAAAGTTTTGGTTTAAAGCTAAGCGTATTGATAGGTGAAATTTGTGAACTGAAGAAACTAGACGTGGGGTTTACAGTTTTCCCGAAGCTCTTGGGTGGTATATTTTTGATTCATTGGTAAGAAAAATAAATCCGCTTTTCATTTTTGTTTTGCTATGTGTTAATGTATGCTAAGCTGTTTTCTTAATGTGTTTCATGAAATGTGACCATTATTAACTTTTCAGTTCATTTTGACATACAGGTGAGAATGTTAACCAATGAAGGTTTCTAATTTTGTCTTAATATGATAAGGGATCATATTTGTTGAATTTACAAAATACTGTTATTTTTCATTGGAAGATATTGGAAGAATGTACAAAATCTACATAAAAAGAATTGCGTTCTTTCAGAAATTCTAAGAATAGAAAGAAGTAATAGCAGAAAAATAACACAAGTTATTTTGCAAACAGTTAAGTTTTTATTTGAATGTTTGCTTTCAATTAACCCGAGAGTCTGACTCAAGCAAATATTTTTCTGACTTTCAGAAGCTGTGAACTTTGGGAAAATGACAAAAAAATTGCAAAACCCTGTTTGAAATATATGAAACTATTTGGTTGGGTCACTAGTAAGTAATAACAATACAAGTAACATTCAAGGGATTGCTGTTGGGAATGAATTAAATATTATTTTAATGACATGAAGTTGTGTAATAAGTGTGATTTGCAAGCAGACTATGATGTGAAACACTTGCTACCTACATGTATGGTTAACATTACTTCAGGTCTATTTTTTATTGGGTGGGGGTGGGGGGGGGGAGGGGGTACCCTCTACCAGGGTCACAGACAGGATTTTTTTTACTGGATAAACGTGCACAGATATTTCATTGGTCAGGGTTATTCACCACCCATTCACTTTCTGTGCATTGAGAATTTTTTTGCACAAAAATGACATCATCACTCATTTAAATGGCCTCTGGTAGTGAGAAAAGGGGGAGGGGGC